CTCTAACACCTGTTTTAACAACACTAACACCCAGGTGAGTCCGACTGGGGCCATCCAGGTACTTGTCAGTGTTCAGCTGAGGCCTGGGGACCTTGGCATAAGCTGGCATCTGGCTTGCCAGTGTCACGGGGGTGTTCCATCCCCACACTGCACTGTGGCTCTGAACTCCGTGGGGACAAGCTGCAAGGGAGAATGGGGTCAGAGGATCAATCAGAGAATCCTTAACCCCATCCTGCAGCCAGACTGGGCCAGAGACCCATCAGGAAGGGGCTGAAATACCCCCTGGAGCACAGGGCAGGGCATAGGGCATAGTGGTCCCTCGCTCTCGAGTGGGGAGGGAGGCCACTCAGCCTCACGGCACATCCCCACCAGAGTGCCCTGGGACAGCCTAGATCCCTGCCCTTCTGTAACTGCCTCTGGGCACTGGGTTGTTTATACAGGGACCCCTTGCCTGGTGCTGACATGTGGCCCTCTGGGGTGGGATAGTACAGGGACCCCAGTGATGAAGGGGGAATGTTTTGTAATATTTTTATGAAGCCTGTGTGTGCCTCAGTTTCCCCAACATGCTTCAGTATTATCCATTGGGTGGAAAAGGATTGTTTGCTCTCAGGGCAGGATAAGGGCAAGTCCACACTACAAAATTAGGTTGACCTAAGTTACATTGACATACAGTCACTGCAGTCATTGAATTGGTTTTACACGTCCACACTACACTCCTTGTGTTGGTGGTGTGCATTCCCACCAGGAGCGCATGCACCAATTTAACTGTCAGTGGGGGCATCGTGGGACGGGTTCTGAAAGGCAGCAACAGTCAGTGAAAGTGTGAGCAGGGGCTGAATGAATCCTTCCCTGACAGCGAGCTGGGAGGGGGGAGACTTGGGTGTGTTTATGTAAATACTGTTTGCTCCTGCTCTGCTTACAGATTCAGCAAAAAGTGATCAACTTTGGCTGATGTTGGGTACAACTCACCTTAGTACTGAACGCCGGGTAGTGAAATATGGTTCCCAACATTGTAATTATTGTAGGAATACAGGAAAGCAGGACTGTGCTTAACCTGTCCCAAATGACTGTGCTTAACCTGTCACCTTCAGTTGAAACAACCTTATTAAGTCAGGGGCTTGAATGTCAGCGCCTTGGGAAAATAAGAGGGGTGGGGGTTTACACCCACTTAGGAGTTCTTCCTGGTCTGCTTTAACTTTTTTTCTCCACTGGTTAAAGAAACCCTGTACAGCGCTGATGGTCACTAAGAGACGGATGTGTTGAGGTGGCAGCAGAAGGTGACTGACAGTCGGCTGGTGACCGTGTGGCTGGAGAGGTGCAGGGAGAGTGGTGAGTGGGTGGGAGGCAGGAGTGGCCAGTGAGTGGCTAGCAGGGCGGCTGGTGGAGAGGGGCGGCGAGCAGTGGAGCGAGTTAGGTGCCTCCTTACCCCACTCCCCAGGGAGAGGTGAACTCTGCAGCTGCACCCCTGCACTCTGGGTCTGCACTGACCGGACAGCGCCTGTGAGTGGAGTGCAGAGAAGGGCCAGGCTGGCAGGTGACAGGGACTTTTGGGTTGCTGGAGTTAAGACCCTGAGGGGAAAAGGGCACTGCCCGACCGACTTGGGGTGGGTCTTGTGCTCATGGTTTAGGTTTATGAACCCTGGGTGTGGTGCTTTCCCTAATTAACGCCGGGTGACTTCCCTCCTTTCATTAAAAGTTTCTTTCTGTGCTTGCAAGAGGGAAAGTTTGGCCTCTCAGAGGCGCCCAGGGGTGGGGTGCGATTGTCCCAGGTCACTGGGTGGGGGCTCGAGCTGGTTCTGTGTTGTATCAATGGAAAGGGACCCGCAGGTATTGAACCCGGCCCTGATTGCTGCCGGCTGCACCTGGTGGCAGGGTTACATAAGCAACACTAACACTGCATCGACCTAAGTACGTGGACCTATGCATTACCCTAACCGTGGACCTAAGCACTACCCTAACCGTGCCTGATCCTCCTTCCCATTGTTCCTGTTGCTATGGAGATGGACCCACTTCCTGTTGTTGTGGGAACGGGGTCTCCTTGCCGTGCTGTAGAGTGCGCTGCTGGGGCACCCCTCCCCCCCGCCCGGTAGATTAGCATCCCTGTGTAACCAGGACCCTGAACCCAGGAGTCCTGGCCCCAGCCCCCTGCTCTAACCACTACCACACACTGCCCCTCCTAATTAACACGTCACTGCTCCCCAGTAACCCCCAGCCCCTCTGACCCCACACCTGCCTCCCGCGCCTGTCAGTCTCCTGCACCCATCACCCTGGTATCTGATTCCCCCTTGGGCGAGCATGAAACCACCACTATGACCCCACATCCCCGCAGGGAACTGGGGTGCTCTCCCCAGGGCTATCAGAGCTGTGCCAGTCAGGAGGCATCACCCAGAGCAGCCCAGCCCAGTTCTCTCCCTGGCCCATCCCTGGGCTGCTCCCAGAGTCACCACGGCCACCGCAGTTACCTAGCAACAGACAACAGCCGTTACCTAGCAACAGACAACAGCTGGCCCCAGGCTCTGCTCACTGTTTTCTGGGCAGAACCCACCATGGAGGGCGAGGCAGCCAGCATGGAGGGCATGGGGGGCTGGTCCCCCACGCCAGGCCAGGAGCCCTCGGGCCCGTTCCCCCCGCCAGCCGAGGAGCCCTCAGGCCCATCCCCCCCATCAGGCCAGGAGCCCTCGGGCCCGTCCCCCCCGCCGGCCAAGGAGCCCTCGGGCCCGTCCCCCCCATCAGGCCAGGAGCCCTCGGGCCCGTCCCCCCCCGCCGGCCAAGGAGCCCTCGGGCCCGTCCCCCCCATCAGGCCAGGAGCCCTCGGGCCCGTCCCCCCCGCCGACCCAGGAGCCCTCGGGCCCGT